GTAGGCACGAGTCATTGGTAAGTGCACCAGTCAAACGACAAAAATCTATTGAGTCCTAGTTAAATAAAAAACTAACAATTTGGTCGGCGCCCACGCCGACTCTTCAGTCATCAAGATGAAAAGAAATCACGCGCGCCTTAAGTCTACACGCCCACACACTCTCTACTCTAATCAGCCACTCAGTCAACATAAACCATAGACTCAAATGCGCCTCGCACGGTATGCTTAGACTTTAGACCAAAGCTATTTCCTGTCGCTTGCAGAGACCAGGGCGAATACCCTTGTAAGGGTATTCACACCGACAGCGCTGCCCTCAGCAGCGCCCTGCCTCTCTTAAATGCCCGCGTGCACCTGCCTTGCACCTAGCGCTAGCGCACAACACACAGGCCGCTAGCGCACGCTCAAGCAGCGCTGCCGCATGCACTACGTAGTGCCCGACTGACCAATACAGAGCCCGACCCTTTCCAACATGAAAAGTGGCGTGTGACTAAGTTTCCAGTAGCTTCAGTCTCGGCCAAAGTGTCTGCGTCTAGGTCCGTTCAGACAGTGGCCTGGGACCGGATTGGTTAGGCATGCCCAACCACCCAGGCACAAACGTGCGGTGCTCCCTGCTTCGACCACGTTGCTGGAAGAGCCTGGAAGGCTTACAAATATTTTGGATTCTCACGAGCAAGGCAAATGTAACCATCTGGCGCGTGGCAACTGCCTGGCACCCGCCAAGATTTGCAAAAATTGGCGAACTCTGGCACATTGAGATTCAGGGGGCCCGCCTTCACTTAGGGCGGGCACGCGCCTGCTGCAGGGCCTTACGCCGAGGGGTAAACCCTCGCAGTCCCTCCTTTTCTTCGATGGTCCTCTGAGAAGTCGTCACAGAGCAGGCTGCTTCCCTTTCAAGTTTCTTTCGTAACTTGAGATTATCTGAGGAGCAGTCTTCATTAATTCTTCTCTTGTAAACCACCGATCTTTTTTAGGGTTCGTATGATGTCAGAACCGAACTCGATACTGCATCTGCTGTTTCGGAGGGCGTCCCCTGCCTGGAGACTTGGGCACAAGCATCAGCTTGTGCTCGACGATATCGTCAATGTCCACATGTCCGTCCATGGTTGGGGGCAGCATCGATCTTCTTGAGGGAAACTGTTCAGTTTCAGCGAAGGGTGCCAACTTAGATGCATAAAAAAAAAACAGGGTGTGTACGGAGGTGACCAGGAATGCGAATAACATATGATGGACCATCGGGTTGATCTCCTATGTCCAAAATTTCCCAAGGTCCAAAGTATTGTGGCATCAGTTTGCATGAGATTCCCAACTCCTATCCCCACTCAGATGACTTTACCCAGACTCGTTCACCTACCTGAAATGTAGACAGTCGGCTGTGTCTGTTCTCGGATGCAACCATGGCATCTTGAGCTTTCTTGATGTCCTCTACGGCTTGCTGCAGCATCTGTTCGTACTTGACAGCGAACTCTATGCTACCAGGTGCTGCGGTTGGCTGATTTCCAGCCAATAGGAAGTCAAGAACAGATCTGGGCTTCCAACCAAGATGCAGCTGGTTGGGGGTCTTACCGGTAGTGTTGTGCACAACATTGTTGTACAAGCTGGCAATGAAAGGTAACTTCTCATCCCAATCATCTTGACTTGGCTAAATATAATGCCGAAGCAAGTGCTGCACTACCTGGTTCATCTGCTCGGCCTGCCCATTTGACTCAGGGTGGTTCCTTGAGGTCATTTGCAGTTGGGTGCCCATCTATTGGGATGTACTTTGCCACAGTTCGCTAGTGAATCTGACATCCCTGTCGCTCACAATAGACTTAGGGAGACCGAAGTCACGTACTCAGTTGTCCATGAATAGCTTGATGACATGCTCAGTCCTAGTTGTCTACGACATAGCGATTAGTCTAGCATACTTAGCGAACCTGTCCACAATGACGAAGATGTGCCGCTTACCGCTATAGCTGGTCACAACGATATCCATGACATCCATGGACACACTTTGACCTGGACCAGCAGGGATGGGCAAGGGCTTGATAAGCCCAAGCGGTGCTTGCGTCTGTGGCTTGGCAAGTTTCTATTTTGCATCATCCATCATTGTATGCCACCAAAAAGGCTGAAGTAAATTTGCTGCTGTCGTTTTATAGCCGAAATGTCCGGTTGCGTCGTGACACTCACCTAAAAATAAACTACGCAAGGACTCTATTCGGCACACACAAATGTTTATTCCCATCCTTCTCAAGGAACAGCAAGCCGTCAACCACTGACAACCAGCACAAACTCACCGGAAGTAGCCTTGTCTTTAGCTTCCAGTTTGCAGATGATATCGAACATGACAGTGTCCTCTTGATAGGCTTCCACCATAAATTGAGTTACATTAGCATAAATCCCAAACTCAGTCACTAGTGCGCCTATATAGTCTGCCCTACGCGATAGTGCATCAACCACTTTATTGTACTCTCCCTTTAGAGGGTCGAGCTTGAAGTCATACATATCTACGACTTCAATCCACCTCTTGAGTGCGTCAGAGAGCACGGGATGTGTCTTAATCTAACGCACCATCTCATGGTCAAATCTCACATAAAAGAATTTGTCGAGGAGGTAGTGCCTCCAATGGACCAGCGCTCTATAGAGGGCATAGATGGACTTGGCTAATTTTTGAGATGGCATCTTTTTGCTCATGTACTCGATCGGCCTCAACTTTTCCCCCTCCTTTTGTGCAAGGACCGCGCCTATGCCTATTTGCCTGGTATATGTGGTCACGACAAAGGGTTGTTCATGATTTGGAAGTTTGAGGACTTTGCAGTGCTTCAGGGCATACTTCAATCCCTTGAAGGACGCCTCACACTCTTTGGTCCGCTCCCAAGGGGTGTCAAGGCGCGCGTGAGGTCAGTTAGAGGGGAAGTTACAGTACTATAGCTCTTTACAATCGGGCGATAGTAGCCTGTCATCCCCCAAAATGACCTCACCTCAGTCACAGACTAAGGTCTGGGCCAGTCACTTATGCTGGCCACTTTGGCATCGTTCGCCCTCAACCCATCCGTAGAAATCTCATGACCCAGATACAAGACCTTGGTGCAACCAAATTCACATTTCTCCAAGTTAACCTTGTACTGGTGTTGTCTTAGGAGCTCTAGCACAGTTCTCACATGCTCAACGTGCTCCTCTACAATCCTAAAAATAAGGATAAGACGTCGAGGTACATGACGATAAACTTGTCTAAGTAGTCATGTGCAATGACTTGCTGTTTTCTGGTCCCCTGTAGCCTCTCTCTGTCGAGGCTGTACCATAGGTAGGGTAGATTCGTAATTTTGTTTGGTTGAGGGCTAACCGAGAGACCTACCTGTAGTGGAAATTCGTGAGGGACATACCTGCAAATTTGGGAAAATACAGACCAAGCACTAACTGAATTTCCTATTGCTACCCTAACTGCGAATAGCAGGCCCAGGCTACCCCTAGGACAGACAGGCCCTAAAGGCCTAGGCTGATAGACGGTCTTATAGCCTATAGCCGGGGAAGGTAGAGGCCAAGAGGCCGAAACTGAAGTTGTACCGGTCAGTCAGTCAGTCCGGTCTAGGTCGAGTCTAGGCTAGTTTTAGTCTATAGATAGGATGGGCACATGGGTTCAGGGCTTTTGGCAGTTGATACCGAGTACATCGTTGTTGTGCTACGCGTGAACCAGAAGTGGTGACGACTCAGCGTTGTGGGGGACAGACATAGCCAGACCTTCGGAGCGTCGGCCATAACTGGGACCTGCGTTGTACTCTGCCAGCACGCGGGGCTGTCAGAGGTCTGGGCCATTGAGGTCTGCTGGAGACGAGAGAAGTTGGTGCCCTGCTGGACCCTCCTCCGGAGTGGGGTTCCAGGGTGGTGGCGCTGCAGCCATAGCTGCAGCTTCTTCCTCAAAGGTCATCTTGTCAGGGTTTGGTGGCGCTGCTGCAGACTTCCATCCGGGAAGTCTTCGGACGCTTCGTCATCATCAGATATTGTGGCGCTGGTCTTCTTCTTCATCCTCTGAGTGGCGCTTGGCCTCAAAGGCCTGTTTCAGGGTGGCCCGTCCCTTTGGAGGCTGTATCTGGGTGGCGCTTGATGTTTTAGGGGCTCAGGGGTGTCACAAGTGGTTACTCAGGGGTGGGGAGTGAAGCGCTGCTCATTTCTGAGCAGCGCACTGTAGTATTGAGGTTATCCTGACAATTCAAGACTTTCAGTTTAATAAACAGTGTTATACTGGGTTTGGACTATCATCGTTTTATTGTTTCCTAGATGTGATCTACTCGGCTTTTCTTTACGACTGGTTGTGAGGATTGAGTGGAGTGAATTGCACTTTCAGTGTGCCCTGTCTGTCGCATGGTCAAGTCTTCCGCTGTGTTTATCTCTCCCTGTGCGGTGTGATACTCCTATCCTCTCCCCTTCCTTCTATGTATGTATGGGCATACCTGGAAGTCTGTGCGAGTGTTGGTCTCGGACAACAAACAACCAGAATCATAAGACATGAAAGATCCGGTTCAGTTCTTGCTGGAACGTCCCATGAGCATGCAAACTCGTACAGACCGAACCTGTCGGCTAGCGGTTTTGTGCTGGTCCTCGGGTCTAATAGCAAAGTGCAGGGATATCGGTACTTCAGAAAGTGCATCCGATGGTATCCAGATCTCAAATCTATCTTTGTGAAGTACCAGCATCCCTGCACTCTATCCAAGAGGTCGTCAATGCGCGGTAGGGGCTCTGTGTTCTTAACAGTAATGACATTGAGGCGCCTTTAATCAATGCACATCCTTAGGGTCCCCCCTTTCTTTGGGACAAATAGAATTGGCGCTCCATAGGGGGACGTGCTTGCTCGAATCCAACTTCGTGGCTGCTGCTGTGCTGTGCTGTGAAACACACGCAGAATCGTCACCATCATAGTCAATGCACATCCTAGGTCATCACCCGAGTGCCCCCATTCTTCATGGCTGCCGCTGTGCTGTGAAACACCCACAGAATCGTCATCATTGATGATCTTCGCCCTTCTCTTGCGCAACTTCGGAGCTTTACTCCGCCGTGCTTGGGCAACCCGGACCTCAACGTCAACAGTCTTCACCACTTCTTCTGTTGTGGCCTGCGGATACTTCCGTGGATGCCCTCGTCCCCTCTTCACCATGGGGGTCCTACCTCCTGAGCAACCTCCTTCTGCTTCCTTCCCGCGAGGCTCACATCAAGGTTGTTGCGATGTATAGCCTCAACCAACGGCGGAAAGGGGGCATACTCAACAGCAGGGGCTTTGACTGGCTGTTTCTCCCGCTGCTGCAGTTCCTGCTGCTGCTCAGACACCTTGTGTTGCGGTGACATCACCTCCTTTTACATAGGCTGCTTATTTGCTTCCCGTTGCTGCGACCCCTCCACGTGCGTCTCTACGTGGTGCTCCCGTCGCTCTTGGTGTTGCTGCCCGTCTTGCGGTTGCTGCTGCCGATCGTCTTCTTGCCACATCTCAGAATCTGGCTGCCGCAGCCCATCCTCTTGCTGCTGCAAGTCCCGCTGCTGCTGCTGATCCTCCAATGGTTGGGGTATTCCGCATGTTGCTGCATCGCAGCAGTGTCCTTTTCTTGCAGTCCCTTTCCCGTGTTCCCTAGCTCTTCCCCTTCTCCCAGTGCTCCCACTGCAGCTGTGGACACCGTCTTCCTCCTACCAGCAGCAGGAACTGCCACACGCTTTCCAGCCTCTTGCTGCATCCGTTGCTCAACGAGAGGCCGGTCCCTGTGGGCCAAGTTTTGCGCCTCTGTTCTAGCACGCTCGTCCTCACTATCAACATGCGTGAAGGCGGGCCTCATCATCTTCAAGAACTCGGCATCATCGTCATGGTGCGCCGCATCTGCCCTCCATGTGTCATCCTCATCAACATTGTCGTCGTCGCTGTTGTTTGACTCGTCACTTTCTCGAGGTGGACGCAGGCCAAACTCCACCTTCTCCTCATTTTCCTTGTCCTCCCCCTCCTCGTCCTCTTCCCCCTCCTCCTCATCCTCCCCGTCCGCCTCATCCCTTTCTTCATAACCACCCTCGACATCATCACCAAGCAGTTGCATCTCCTTGAGGTCCTCAAGCTGCTGTTGCTCTTGTGTCTTATGTCCATTTCCCCTCCAGATAAGGCCCTCCCCATCGTCACTACTATAAGAGGAGCTCGAGTCATCTACCCCCTTCATCCTTGGGACCCTCCCTTTGCGCGCCTTCCTTAGGCGAATCATCTATGCTGCCTCATCATCAGAAGGGTAAATGCTTGCTGCCGTGGCAGGGAGAATAGCGGGGTCATCCGGAGATGGAGCTTCCGCTTCATCGAAGCAGCTGGCCCACAAGTCAATGTAACCCCCCCTCTTTGTCCTCTTCACCTTTTGTAGTTGTTTGTTCCAATGAACGTAGACGAGCTTCTCAACGGTCCCACTGCCCAATGTGTTTCTCCGCTTGTCGTGCACCAGATCCACTGACGACCCATTTCTCTCGCATGGGGTGGTCGTGCTCCATATGGCGGTGACCCTCACTGCAATCTCCCGCAATTTCTTGTGGCTTTTGCCATGAGTGCTCCATCGTTCAGATGCGGTCAGCTGCGAAAGCCCACTGTCAAACTTGGCAAACTTTGTCCAGAAGCTCTTTTCCTCATCCTCTTTGTTTGGAGGCTCTTCCCCTTTCTTTTGGGCCTCTTCCCTCTTCTTCTTTGCCTCCTCTGCCCGCTTGTGCTTCATTTCCTCTGTGGGCTCCCCGTGGAAGGCCTGCAGATCTGCCCATAGGTCAAGGTTCTCTTTGCACCTCCATGTGGAACCCTCCGGGCACTGAGACAGCAAGAACTTCATTGTGTTCTGCACAAGCAGACTGTTGATGTCATTCAGCTACCGCTCGTTTCTCTTCTTCGGATTGAGGAGGAAATTAGCAGCATGCACTGGCTGCCTCGTCATCTTGCACCGGGTTGCGATCTTAGTATTGATGGTCTTTTGTTGCGTTGTTGCCAGTGCGTTGATGTTCTGCACACGCTTCATGAGGCCTTCAACAAAGTTCCAGAGCTGATGCGGGGCCGTGCCGTTGCAGTCTATCTTCCGAAGCAGCTCATACACGGGCACCATCACTGTTAGAGCCCTCTCCAACAACTGCCACCATTTCGTGGACCACACAGTGACATACGTGGCTTCGGATTTGTCTTTGTCCTTTGCTCCACTCCACCTGATGTCCTTCCAACCCTCCTCCATCATCTCCTCCAATAGCTTCCTCCTATCGTTCAACCGCTCGAGCATCATGAACTCGGATGCGAACTGCATCTCTGTGGAGAGAATCAGCGACCTTTCCCTTACCACGTCTGAACACTTCACCATCATCTTCGCCCCCTGCGCCATTTCCTGCACCCAGTCCACTCCACGTATGTCCTTCAGCAGCAGGTTGAGGCAATGTGCTGCACAAGGGACCCAAGGAATGCGGGCAATTCGAAGATTTGTTCCCCTCCTGAAAATTTGCGCAGCTTGCTTGTTGAGCTCTTCATTATCCGTGCAGATTGCATTGATTCTTTGGACCCTGATCTTCCCGATGACCTGCTCCCAGATCTTCGCAAGATCAACTGCAGTCTTTTTCCTCTTTGAAATGTCCACCACGTTCAACAGCACAGCCCTGCCCTCATCTGCTGCTAGGAAGTCCAATATTGGTCTGAACCTGCGATCGGTGCACCCATCTTTGATGAGGGTATATCCAGTGCTGTCCCACTTCTCCATCAATGGACTGACCTACTCCTTCACCCTCTCATATACGATGTCCAGTGCCACTGTCGAGATAATCTCCAAGGAAGATATGTTCACCCTTTGTTTCTTCTCGCCCAACTCCAAGTATAGCTCAGAAAGCTCTTGGGTCTTCTCCCCCCTCACATGATTGAACGGCGCCCCGTGCTCACATAGATGCTACCCGAGAAACATCCAACCTTCGCTGAAAATTATTCTCTATCCAGCGCTTGATGGATTGTTGTTTGAGCTTCCCGCTCTTCGCTTCAGTCGTTGGCTTTTGGGCGGAAGCCCCGATGGTGATCACCTCCTCCACTTCGCCATCGTCTCGAGGAGTTTCAAGTCCCTCTCTCCCTGGTGTTGTCGGCTGCTGGATGAGCTCCAGCGTCTGCATCCCCGTCCATCTCTTGCTCAGTCGGGGCAATAGGGTCGTTGTCCGGTATGTTGTTCTCCTTATGGTACATGTGTATCAACCGCAAAGCCCGACAAACATCCAACCTTCGCTGAGAATTATTCTCTATCCAACGCTTGATGGATTGTTGTTTGAGCTTCCCGCTCTTCGCTTCAGTCACTGGCTCTTGGGCGGAAGCCCCGACAGTGATCACCTCCTCCACTTCGCTATCGTCTCGAGGAGTTTCAAGTCTCTCTCTCCCTGGTGTTGTCGGCTGCTGGATGAGCTCCAGCATGTCTGCATCCCCGTCCATCTCTTGCTCAGTCAGGGCAATAGGGTCGTTGTCCGGTATGTTGTTCTCCTTATGGTACATGTGTATCAACCGAAAGCCTTCCGACACTCCACCGCCGCCCCAGACCGTAAGAGGAAGTGAAGAATTTTCACCGTCCTGCTGGACCAAGGGTTCCCTTTTCGCTTGAAGTGCTCAACCACGTGGGTGTACGATGCTTGGAACTCTCTCCCACACATTTTGCAAATGCACCAGTACTGGACCCTTCCCGTGGGATCTGCCACTTGACATTATGTCACCCACTTGTACCCGATCTTTGTCAGCTGAAGTTCAAGCTGCCTACTCTCCGATTGTGGAACCAGAACTGGTTTCGGGTACTGCCTTTTCGTCGACACCTTCGCCTTCCCCTTGGACTTCGAAGTCCCCACAGAGCTTGTGGAAGCCATCCCAACGAACAAGAAGATGAACGGGAAGAAGAAGAAGAAGAAGATGAAAAAGATGGGAAGATGGGAAGATGGAAGTACGAGGAGGAAGAAGAAGAAGAAGAAGAAGAAGAAGAAGATAGGAATATGAAAAGACGGGAAGATGGGAGTAGGAGGAAGAAGAAGAAGGAAGATGGGAGTATGGGAGTAGGCGGAAGACGAAGAAGAAGAAGAAAAAGAAGAAGAAGAAGAATAAGAATAAGAATAATAATAATAATAAGAAGAAGAAGATGGGAAGATGGGAGTAGGCGGAAGGAGAAAGAAGAAGAAAAAGAAGAAGAAGATGGGAAGAGGGGAGTACGCAGAAGAAGAAAGAAGAAGAAGAAGAAGAAGAAGATGGGAAGAGGGGAGTAGGCGGAAGAAGAAAGAAGAAGAAGAAGACAAAGATGGGAAGATGGGAAGTGGTGGCGGGAGAGAAGTTGGCGATGCGGGAAGGGAGGAAGGAGGTGGTGGGATGGAGGTTGGAGATGACGAAAGGAGGTGAGAGGCGGCAGGCGAGGAGGTGGGAGATGGCGGGGGGGGGGTGGGAGATGGAGAGAGGGAGGTGGCGGATGGCGGGAGGAGAGGTAGGAGGAGGCCGGAGGGAGGTAGGAGGTGGCGGGAGGAGAGGTAGGAGGTGGCCAGAGGGAGGTTGCAGATGGAGGACGTCAGGTGGGAGATGGTGAATGGGAGGTTGGAGATGGCGAAAGGGAGGCGGGAAGGTGAGAGAGAGCGAGAGGGAGGTGGAAGAAGATGGGAAGATGGGCGTGAGCAAATGCAATACATAAGCAGTCAAGATATAAAGTTAGATGTGATACGCGCAGGGTTTAGAGATTTCACGCAGGATATGATGAAATACATGGTGGGCCAAGTCCACCCGGCGATTAGTAAGACGAAGGAATTTTGCACTGGTGCCATTGAAGGCGCCAAGTTAGCGGCTGTTAAGGAAGAAGAGTCGGCCCCACCACATCGCGAAAAGGTTAATGTCCGTTTCGCCGAACCCTTCAGTGGAAAGCAGGGGGACGATTTTGATAATTGGGAGGCCAACGTGCACTCCTATTTGTACGTGCAGGGAGTCACGCCCGAGGATCATGTTTTAGTGGCCTTCCATGCCCTTCGAGATGAAGCGACCAGTTTTGCTAGGTCGTTAGCCCGCGCCGCGAACTGTGACAACAACATGGTCACATATTCCCGATTGACGCCCCTCTCTGAGTTCTTGAAATCACTCAGGGAGCGATTCTTAGATGTGACGCGGGGGCTTAAAGCCTATGATAAGCTTCTAATGATACACATGCGCCAGTGGAAGAGTGTCCACACCCTCAAGTCCGTGATGGACGAATACGTTGCTGTTCCCGGGCATGGAGTGATTGACGCCCAACTGGTTAACCTCTTCTATCGAGCCTAGCTTGAGAATATTCAGGGACATTTCTTCGAGAAGAAGAAGTAGCAGGGTATGACATACGATGTTCTTAGCAGGGAGGCAGTTTCATTCGCCACCCAAGCATCGTCGGTTACCACGTTCTGGCATAAAGATTTGTCTAAGGGGAAAACGTGGAAGGGGCGTACCATCTCCGGCCAAATTAAGGCCAGAGATAGTTTGATTCTAACACTGGAGAAAGGTGGTGTAGACGAGGTTCCCTACTTTGACATTGAGTGAGGACTAGAGGAGGAGGACAGTAGCGCTGGTCAGGGGAGAACCTACGCTGCTGACGCGGCCGGAGGGAGGCCGTAAGGAGGAGGACAAGGGTCCAGCCAAAATGGTCGGGCCCCAGGTGGCCGAGGACAGGGTGGCCAGGGGGTTCGCGGCAATGGAAACCGCCAAGCGGGAGGAAGGGGAGATCTGCCATCTAACCGTCCGCGTTCTAGTTGGTCACCTTGCAGACAGGGATGGTGGCACCCAGGCCGGCCCGAGGGCCGACCTTGGGAAGATCTGGGTATAGAGGAAAAAGTATGGTGAGAACGCATTAATAGGTCTCAGTGCGTGTTATGCGGAGACCCAGGGCACATTATAAAATTATGTCCGAAGTATAGGAACCGTGCTGCGTCTGGGGCAGCAAAAGGCAGTTGTCGGTAGGGGCTGCAATTGCCCCTACCCCAGGAGTATGTGGATCTGAGCGTGCAGCGAAGAAGAGTCTCCCACTCCACTTATCTCCATGGCAGAGGTTGCTGTCCAGAGACTGCTTGTGTTAGGGTCTCTCTAGACGTTTCCCTCACAGGCTTAGCTGAAGAGTTGAGAGAGAGGCAAGCTTGGGCCAAGATGAAGAAGGATGGTAAAGGACAACTGATCCTCGTAGATGTAGAGATTTTTAGAGCTAGAGTAGGAGCCATGATAGACAATGGGGCAACTAGGAGTTACATCAGTCGTAAAGCGCTGAAAAAGTTGAAACTCAATCTGAAAGTCCAACGATTAGCAGAACCTGTAGTCAACATCCTTGCAGAGAACAGTAGGATGTGCATTGATGAGTATGTTGAGGGGGCCTAGGCCTAGAACAGTAGGATGTACATTGATGAGTATGTTGAGGGGGTCCAGGCCTACTCGCCTAGAGAAAGAAGGGAAGGTAGAGAAGGTATTGCATTCCTTGACCACCCTCGTAAAAAAGAATCTCCCATTTGACATTGTTTTAGGCACAGATTGGGGAGAGGCAGCAGGAGCCACACAACACCTTAGAGAGCATGAGTGTGGGCTCCCCAGTGCATCAGGCGAAGTCAAGGAAGTCCGCCTGTACCATGAGTCTAGGGTAGATAACCCCCTTGCCCATTGCTGCCTCAGCGCTCCTGCATTCGCCAAACTCGTGCGGAAGGAGCAGCTTGAAGAGCAGTTGTTCGTAGCCTACGTAAGGCCAGTGTTCGATAAGCCTAAAGAAGAAGAGAAGATTCATCCTACCATTGCCAGTCTACTGGAAGAGTATAAAGATTTGTTTGAAGCACCTTCAGGAGTAGTGCCAAGACCAATCCAGCACCGTATAGAGATAGAGCTTGGCAGTAGGACGCCCAAAGGGGCAGTCTACACGATGTCTCCCAAGGAGCTAGAGGAGTTTCGCAGGCAGTTAGACGAACTCCTAGAGAAACGATGGATAAGACCTAGTTCATCACCCTTTGATGCACCTATTATGTTTGTCCCAAAGAAGGAGGGAGAGCTATGCATGTGTATTGACTACAAGGGACCGAACGCCATCACAATCAAGAATGTAGAGCCGCTGCCTCACATAGATGACCTGTTAGATCGAGTGCAGGGATGCATGTATTTCTCAAAGATAGGTCTGAAGTCAGGTGACCATCAGATAGAGGTCCACCGTGACGATCAGTATAAGACGACGTTCAAGACAAGGTATGGGCATTACGAGTTCATAGCGATGTCGTTGGGACTAACTTATGCACTGGCCACATTTCAGCGCTGCATGAACGACTTGTTAAGACCATGGCTAGATAGGTTCGTCGTAGTGTACCTAGATGATATCTTAGTGTTCAGCAAGACCCTCGAGGAGCATGAGGGCCATCTGAGGCAGATTCTAGGGAAGTTGAGAGAGTCTAACTTAAAGATTAACCCGAAAAAGTGCGAGTGGGCCAAGACAGAGGTCCTTTACCTAGGTCATGTACGAGACGGAGACGGTATTCGGCCCGAGATCAATCAGAGACTGACCAACTCCTAAGACACTAATAGAGTTACGTTCGTTCCTAGGATTGGCTAACTATAAATAGGAAGTTTGTGAGGAATTTCTCCACGATCGCTGCTCCCCTCCGTAGGTTACTGAAGAAAAAGACAATCTGGAAGTGGGACCAGGATTGCACGCCAGCCT